ACCTTGATTCAGTCTTCTAACCCCGGTCCAATCCTTGCCCATGTACATCTGTGATTCCTCTGACGCTTCATGCTGGTTTCAAAATTTCCAGTTTGCAGGTTCTAGCCGCCTCTTTACTATGGATGTGCAATCCCTTTATATGTCCATTCCCCACCAGGAGGGTCATAGGACTCTGCTTCTTCCTGGAGCAAAGACCTGAACCGTCCCCACCCACCACCACCCTCCTCCACTTGGCCAAGCTAGTCCTCACCCTCAACTTCTCTTAACTCCTTATTTTCTTCAGGTCAGAGGGGTGCCCCTGTGTTACCAGCATGGGTCCCAGTTGTGCCTGTCTCTTAGTCGGGTACATGCAACATTCCTTGTTTGAGTCCTATTCTGGCTTCCACCTGCAACTCTTTCTCTAATTATATAAATGATATAATTGGTGCTGCTTCCCTCTCTCATCCAGAATTGGGAAGGTTTGTCACTTTTTTCTTCCAATTTCCACCCTGCCCTCATTTTCGCCTGGTCTGTCTCTGACTCCTCCCTTCCCTCCCTTGACATCTGTTTCCATTTCTGGGGATAGACTGGCCACTAATGCACTATAAACACACAGCTCCCTGAACTATACATCCTCACACTCTCCTTCCTGTAAAGACTCCATCCCATTCTCTCAGTTCCTCTGTCTCAGCTGCATCTATTCAGATGAGGCCACCTTCAACAAAGGAGCCTCCACAATGTCCACCTCCTTCCTCAACCGTGGATTCCCAGCACCGTTGTTGACAGGGCCCATCTCTTGCACTTCTGCCCTCCCCCTTCTCTTCCCTCCCACAACATCATAGGGTTCCCCTTATCCTCACCCACCAGCATCCACATCCAGAAGATCATCAGATGTCATTTCTGCCACTTCCAGCAAGATGCCACCACCAGACACGTATTCCCCTCCTCTACCTTGTCTGCCTTCCTCAGGGACGCCCTGATCCACTCTTCCTTCACCCCCTTCCCCTGTAACCAGTGAAGGTGTAACACCTGCCCATTTACCACCTCCCTCCCCAGTATCCAAGGGCCCAAACATACCTTCCAGGTGAAGCAACACTTCACCTGCACTTCCGAGAATCTATTCTATGTGCTTGTTGCTTAATGTGGTCTCCTCTACATTGGGGAAACAAAGTGTAGACTGAGTGTCTGCTTCACAGAACATTTGCATTCTGCTTGCAAAAAAGACCCTGAACTACCTGTTGCCTGCCACTTTAACACCCTGCCCTTTTCCCTCGTCAATATCTGTCTCTCGTTTGCTGCAGTGTTGTAGCAAAGCTCAATGCAAGCTGGAAGAACAACACCTCATTTTTCGCTTGGGGACCCTGCAGCCCTCCAGACTCCATATCGAGTTCAATAACTTTAGGGCCTAATCTCTCCCGTGTCCTAGCCCCCTACTCCACACACCAAGCTTTGTTGTCCTATAGCCTGCCATTACACACTGGCTACTGTTAGCCACTAACAGTCCCATTAACAACTATTCATCCTCCTAGCCAGATCATTATCAACTCCTTTGCCTATCCAACTGCTTTTCTCTCTTTGGGCTCTATCCTACTGCTTACTCCGTACCACATTTCCTCCCTATTTTCTGCATATAAACCGACATTTTCCTAGCTACCATCTGTTCTGAGGAAGGGTCACTGGACCCAAAACATGAACTGATCTCTTTTTTTTTCTTCACAGATGCTGCCAGACCTGCTGAGCATTTCCAAGAACTTCTGTTTGTGTCTTTAGATGCTGTGTGACTTACTGAGTTTCTCCACTAATTTGTTCCTGATTCCAGCATCTGTAATTCTGTTTTTATCAACTTTGGAGCCTGAACACCACCTTCCTTGCCTTTTTACCCATTCCCATACTCCATGGGCTGCTTTCAGTAGAAGCAATCTATTTACATCTACTAACAGTCCCCATTATCAGCTTTTCTTCTTCCCTGGATTATTATCAATCATCCCTTTGCCCAACTATTTTGCTCACTTGTCCCTGTTTCCATCTATCTTCTCATACTACTTCCCTTCCCTCCCCCAATCCCCTGTTACCAGCATGTATGCCTGACCGACCACAGTCTGTCCCAAGAGGGGTCACTGGACTCTGAGCTTTCTCTTCATGAATCCTGCCAAACCTACTAAGTTTCTCCAGTGATTTTTAGCTTTTTTAGATCTTCAGCATCTACAGTTTTTTAAAACCTTTTTTTCCTAGTTCTGTTTTGAATATTTGCCCCATTGTTTGCCTTGCCTTGAATAAGGGTAGACCATTTAGGTCTGAGATGAGGAAAAATTTGATATTCTATCTCTTGGCAAATGCTGCCAGACCTACTGAGTTTCTCTAGCATTCTGTTAGTTTCTGGTTTCCAATATCACAGTATATTGCCTATTATTATTGCAATATGGTGAGACAGAATTTTGAAAGATTTAGCTTTCTCAAATCTCTGACTTCTTTCTGAAGGAGAAGGCAGTTGGTCTTTAACTAATGTCTTTGTTTTAATTGCACAACTAACAATGATTTAAATGAGCCTGAACTAACCTTTTTCAGACTGTCCAGTGTGTATGACAAACCGATTTGCCAAATGTCTAAGTAATGATGGCGTTTGTACCTGTGCTTTGCAACTGTCTGATGAATTCAATCGTCCCGTCAACTGCAGTACCTGTAAGTATTTTTAAGGACATTTGTTAGTGTTTTAAGCCTAGTGAAAGGTTCCTGAGCATTATAAGGAATGTATCTCCACTTTCTGTTAACAAATTGCTAGCAGTGATGTTTCTACTCTATTTTTCTTAAATTTCAGGAAAGTGTGGCCCACTGTTACTTTCTAAATTACCTTTTTTGCAACTGATTCTTCAGTTTGCATCTTTTTTAAATAACTTGTGCATTCTTATAAATTGAACCAGAAAATGCTGGCTCAGGAGCACTGCAGTAAAATGCAATTCCACAATCTAAACCACCTAATGGTAACTTTTGGTCACCAGTACATCAGCATTGTCCTCTTGCATTCTGAATTTGTGCAGAAGGTGTTGCATCTTGAATAACTTTTTAATTGAGCATAAAAGTACCTTTTTTCCTCAGATTTAAATTGTCTTAAGTTTACCTGACACCCAGTGCTTCTCTTTTCCAGCCAACTTTTTTCATCTTTCCACAAGTGTACACAATTTCAGTGCTTTTATTTTCCAGATTTTATTTGCTACCTTGCATTTAGGTGACTCAGATTAATTTGGTTTCTTCTTAGTTTTTGCTTTTATTTTGCACACGTGTGGATATCACTATCTGGTCAGCATTCATTGCCCATCTCTAGCTGCTGCCTTGAACCACTAGTCCGTGTGTTCTAGATAGAACTTCCACTGGCTTATGGAATGGAGAGGTGTCAATGACTAATGACCAAGGAAGTGATAAGACCACTTCTCACACTTTTGAGACTTGCTAATAATGTGCTCAGCGTTAGTTTGAATCCCCTGTGACTTGTCATCAGAAATCTAGAGTTGGCCACTGATGTAGTGCTTTATTGATAAAGCTATCCTTCACTCTGGCTTTTAGTGTACAAGTACTGACAAAATAATTTTAAGTAGCATTTGAGGCTAGAGAAGTAATAATAGTGAGTTAAGTTTGAGGAATTCCTACTAAAAGTGGCTGCATAATGCCAATAAAAACACTTCAGTAGCTCTAAGTTGTACATCATACCGTGGCTGTTCCAGCTTGGACCTCTACTGTAAATCAGCTAATATTGCCCCTCTCAATTCAGCAGCAGTAGATGACTGAAGTTTCATTTGCAAATCCCATTTGTAGTAATCCAGATAAATAGCTTGTATAATAGATACCACGATCCCCCTTCTCTTTAACAGGGTGGAGGTAGTGTGGTGCTGATGTACTGGATTTTTAGCCCAGTGACACTAGCCTAAAGTAATGGCAACATGGATTTCAAGCCCACCATGGCAGATAGTGAAATTTTGGAGTTAAAAGTAGCCTAATGGTGACCACTGTTGGTTTTTTGGGGGCGGGGGTAAGAAAACAAACTCCCCTGGTTCACTGATCCCCTTCTGGAAAGTTTGTAATTCTTGCCTAGTGTAATTCAGATGTGGTTTCAGACACAACAATGTGATTGACTCTTAACTGCTGTGAGCAAAGCCAAATCCCATGAATGAATTTGGATCTGTCTATTTTAAATTTGAGGCAAATGAGTCCATTTGTACATTGTTAGCCAAACACTACAAACTTTGTTAATAATCAGCAATTGAAGTAGCTCACAGTATAATAGAGAATCACTATTTCGTAAATAAAAAATTTTAATTTTCTTCCATGAGAAGAATCCTCAACCTTCCTATAATAGAATCTAAGGATTAGATATCTTGCATAACAGATTCAAATTGAGCTATTATTAATGTGTAAATTTCATTCTTTTAACACTTTAGTGACCAGTAAGTGCTGGATGATGAAGAATGAAATGTTCCGATTGAAAAGTGGCATTGGAGCTCGCAGAAAGCCCACCGAGCATGCTATGTTAGATAATGATGGTATCTATGATCCTGATTGCCGGGATGATGGCAGTTTCCATTCCAGGCAATGTAATGGGACCAGCACCTGCTGGTGTGTGAATACTGCAGGTGTTCGAAGGACTGACAAGGGAGATGAGAACATTGAATGTCCTGCCCATCCAGTCGCAACTTTGTAAGTATTTTGCTGGGGTTTGAGGACAGTAAATGGGATATCAGTAGTCTGCAGTGGCTCGGGAATGCATCAGCTGCTCCTGGTTGTATGCAATATCACCCATTTGTATGTTGTGTAATAATGCTCCAATTGTCCTACAATCTCAGCACTCCTGCATTTACTTAAGCTGTTTCCATTCAATGAGCAGCTTGAATCCCTGTGTGCATTCTGTCAGCTAAATGAAAACACTCAACAGGCTATGTTACTAGCTACATGTTGTGTCCAGCTGACAGATATCGATAAGTTGGCAAGTGGAGTATAATGTGGAATGATGTGAAGTTCCTCGTTTTGGAAATTAGAGCAAAAACTCTCAAATAGAGAAAAGCTGCAAAACAAAGGGACTTTGGGGTACTGGAGAACAAAACCAAAAGCTAGCACACAGGCGCCGCAGTTAATTCAGAAGGCTAATGGAAACTTGACCCTTCAATGGGGTTGGATTATAAGAGTAGAGAATTCTTAATGCAACTCTACAAGGTGCTGGTGAGATCATACCTGGAGTACTGTCAGAATTTCCTTTTTAAGGAAAGATATTTTATTGGGGGTAGTTCAGAAGCAGTTCACTAGGATAACTTCTGATGTGGAGGGATTACTCCTAAGCAAAGGTTAAACAGGTTGGGACTCCAACCACTGGAATATGGAAAATGAGGTGATATGATTGAAACATAGAGGATTTTTGTGGAGCTTGTCAGTGTAAATGCTGACACTCATGGGAGAGCCTAGAATCAGAAGGCATTGTCTCAGAATTAAGGGGGTACCAATTTAACACAGATGAGAGAATCTCTTGGGGCTTGACCCTTTGGAACTCCTTGCCACACAGGTATGGGGGCAAAGTCCTTGTGTATATTTAGGGCTGAGAGAGGACGTTATGGAGAAGGGTAGGAAAGTGAATGCTAGAGTTGCCATGATCCTATTGAATGATGGAGCAGGCTCGAGGGTCTGATCAGCCTATTTCAGTTGCAGTTTCTTACATTAAAATAGTGAATTGCTATTTTTAAATAGGCAGCTTTGTAGCATCTAGTGACTTCCTCAAATGTGTTCAAACTTTTTTTTGATGTGATTATCAAAATAAACATTGCTTACTAATTCTTTTTTACTGCAGTTGGTTTCAGATTCAGCTGAGGCACAAACCCATAAATGAAGTGGATGAAGTGAAACTGAAAAAGTAAGCATACTGTTAAGTTAAACATATTATCGGGTACTATATAGTGTAAGGTTTGTACCCAAAGTATATATGGAGTCAAAAGTTGTAGCTTTCAAATCCACTATCTCCTCCAGGAGAATGTAGGCTGACATTTTGATACTGTACTGAAGGAGTGCTACATAAGAAGTGCAGTCTTTAGATCTGAGCCATGGTCCTACTTCCCTCTGATTTTATGTAGTGCAACATGATCTGTTCTAAACAAGAGTTTTTGCGGTATTCAGACTTATTCCGCTGTCAGCATTGCAAATGAGTTGCTGGCATTTATGTCCACTGTTCAAGAAATCATATTTGCTGTATAAAACTTGCCTGCTTTTTCCTTGCATTACTGCATTTCACAACAAGTAATTGGGTGTGAAATCTAACTTTTTAGAGCAAGTTTGTTCTTAAGACATTAAGTACTTGAATCATGACTAACACCTGGTATTGCACACAACTCTACCTCCAGCAACCTTGGTGCACCAGTGCACAAGACCTTGGAGTTAGGCTAGAGCTGATGCAAAGATTGACCTACTCTGTAGGTCACTTATAGTGGCTTGAGACTCTAAATTTGCCAGTGAAGAAGCCACTTTATCCTAGTGATCTAAACACAATAAAACTGACTTAGTGATAGTAGGAACTGCTGATGCTGGAGAATCTGAGATAACCAGGTGTAGAGCTGGATGAACACAGCAGGCCAAGCAGCATCAGAGGAACAGGAAAGCTGACGTTTCGGGTCGGGACCCTCCTTCCAAAAAAGAAGGGTCTAGACCCGAAACATCAGATTTCCTGCTCCTCTGATGCTGCTTGGC